CAGGGGATCGAGGGTGGGGACCTGCAGAGGTCCCCACCGAAATATTACACAACATAAGACAAGATAAGATAAGGTAAGATAAGATAGGATAGGCTATGATAGGATAAGATAAGACAAGATAAGATAAGATAAGATAAGATAACATAAAACAATATACTTTATTATGTTGTGTGTTTTGCTTCTGGAAGTCGGGTGATGATCGATTTTTTCTTCGCTGCTTGATTGATCTAAGTAGCCATTGTCGATTGATTTTCGTGTGATCGATTTGAGTTGCCTGATCATCCGCATAATAGGATGAGCGCGATTTTTTCAATCACGATCGATCTTATTCAATCCTAGGCTCACTGGGGATGTATGAGACTCAGTTCCAGTTTGGGGTCTTCAGGTTTTGAGGTTCAGAGTTTTGGAACTCGGTACTGTCAACCCTTGAGTGATAAACTCCCCTCCCTGAATGGGCTTCACAGGGACCGCAAGATTATGGCATCAAGATTTAGCAAAGGGGGTCCAACAAGGCAGCTTTGCCTTCAAGCGGGTTTTCTGCACAGTGGGACTTTGAACTTTAAACCTCAAGCCGATGCTAAAGAAGTGGGGGAAGGACTTCGGTCTTGACCGCACAGGCCACATGCGCCGAAGTTTACAAGAATTAGAGATTGCCCTCGGCTGCTTTGGGGCTTTGCGGATTTGAAATTCAGGGCGTAGGGCTTCAGGGCTTACGGTTTAAGCCTTTAGCGTCTGATGTTTTTAAGGCTTTCGAGGCTTCTTGGCATGAGGAATTAACATTCGCGGTATGAGGATGAGTGGGGCCAGGCAAGGTTCACGCGCGTGGGTGCTAGGAAACGGAGTTCCGAAGAAAGATCGTGATGGATTGAGTGCTTACGGTTTGCAGTGTTTTGGATACACATATATATATATATATGCATGCTTATGCCCGCAGCAGTCCTGTTGTCGGCACTGTTGAAGAAATTGCGGGCACCGTCATACTTCAGAACGCAGCAGAGGGCACCACCTGAATCCCAATTTCACGGGCAGGGTCACGCAACTTAGACGTAGTCTTTCAACTTTCAGTGCTCTTTACTCAGGGAGTGACCACAGCGCGTCTGAAGGTGCTCGGGATGAACTCTGGCACTAGATGACGCCGTGTAGTGTAGTAGCAGTAGCAGCAGCACATACACATATATTTATACACATGCACACACGTATGTATATGTTTATATATATATATATATTATACACATATGTGTAGACATATATGCACTATGAACACACAAAATACCCACACCAACTGCACAGACACACACACACACACAGACCGACAGACAGATATCGCTTGGAGAATCACCCGAGGGCAGCTAGCTGAGGGCAAAGCCATCTGAGCAGTCCGCGTCCTGATGAACATACTGCAGAAGGCCAGCATAGCATTCCAGTATAACGGCGCAAATATTGCCATTGTTCTTAGCCAATGTAGTGGCTTCAGTTTCAATACCATCGTGAAGATCGGACATAAGAATGTAAGAACAACTCTTCTTCCTCAACACTGTCCCATCACGTCAATCACGACAAAAGCCATGCAAAAGCAGAAATTGCACGAGCACCAGCCTGAGAAAACATGAAGGTCCTGAGCAATGATCAGCGCCAACTGAGACAGCAGCCAGCCGGTGCGCATGCGATCCAGGGAATCGAAGTTAGATATGTCGAAGGCGAAACTTTACTGCTGTCACAACAATCCCTACCAGCCCAGGTTACTGTCATGATCGGTATCACCATTAGTACTACGGCTACTACGGGTTTTTCTTTACATTCTGCATGATGTGCTTGCGACCGCTGTAATCTTGAGACGCTTGGAGACAGAGATCAGCTTTTCAGGTCAGAACAAGGTTCCGAAAAGATGCCGGAAACTGGGCGCGGTTCGGCCCTGGAGACTCATTGTTACGTTTGAGAAGTAGGGCCACGTAGGGGGCTGTTGCGAGAAGCAATTCAGAGATATGGACTTTCAGTCGCACGGGCCTAGTATGTGCGAAACAAGCAGCTCAGAGACATGGCTGCTGACTGTCCGCACATTGCGAACTTTTGGCAACCATTTGCACGGATTGGCCGTGGGGGCGCAGCAGTGCATGCTCACAACTCAACTGCGGCCTCCCAAACAAACATGTCAAGACACTTCCCGACAACGTACTGTAAGCCCTGAGAGCCGAACACCTAGCCCTGCACTCTAAAACCCCACACTGCCCTGTGCCCTAAAAATCCTCAAACCGTAGGACCTAAACGGTGAACTTGCTGGATGGCGATACACTACCGGCGTGTGGATGCTTTTCTCTGCCTCGGGTCGGTACACTCTGTCAACAAGCCACGCCCTCGACTTTGTCTGCTTGAGAAGCTTTGTGCAACCGGTATGCGCATTTTGAATACGGTTGTGCTACTGCTTTGCTGGAAACTAAATTCATGCAAACTCATGCTACGTACCTCCATAATCTCGCTGAGCCTCATCTATCAACATGGTGCATACACTGCGAAGTAGCGCAGGCTGCCAGTATGCTTTGTCACAGGACTGTAGAGATTACTGAACAAACCTTGTAGACTCCATTTGAGAACTGTCGTATACGACTAGCATAAGGCTGTGTGCCGAAATAAGGCCACAGAAAGCCATAGCCAGCACACCATGCAAAAGACAACAAAGAATCACAAAAGTGTCTCAAGGTGGAAATATCAGCAATGCAGCTTGATACAACCCTGTAACAACTTGAGAACTGTTTGCGAGAATCAAACTCAAAGTTTTAAATCTGTATAGCAAAGGATAGCGGGGCTCGGACAATAAGTCTGAACATGGGTGATGTCTACTAGGTCTGCTGCGCATCTGTTTCGCATGGCATGTGACAGCAGTACAGACAACCACATAGGTCGCTGAACATCAAAGTCGGGTCCACGCTGTACATGAACATGTATCTGTCATGCCCACGTGCATGCGTATGTGTACGAGTCACGAGTACGTGTATGTAGGCGCAGGTAAGGATTTGTGCATATATGCATGGAAGTGTGTGTGAACGGATGTATCGGTATAGTCGCATGAATATGAAAACACTCAGACAGCAGAGCCAAGAAGTCAAGAAGAGTATGCAGGGTATCTGCCGGACGCAGCACGTAACTGTACTAGGCAGCCCGCGACCTTGGACCCCATACTAAAACAACAACCAGTATGCTGAAGCTCACCCCTGCTCTGTGGCAGAGGACAACGTCTGAGGCTCTAGGGCTTTAGTGCACTAAGGTTCATTTAGACTTGAAGAGGTTTGGGCTGAACATTGTTGATTTATACCGCTTGGAGATTTAGAGTTTTGGAGCCTGTGGATTCAGGGTAGCAGACAAGCACGCAAAGAAGAAGGGATGCGGCCCTACTTTGGAGCGCGGCCGTCATCCAGGCCCGTCACGAACGCTGGCAGCGAGTCCCAAGACGCCCTTGATGTGTGCGTTGCGTGTATACTATGAGTCTTATAATCAAGCATACTATCTCGGCGGTTCTTATATCAAGGGTTATTACTACGGTCTATATTCGGGGTCCCTTGCTTTTCAAAACGCCCACAGATACACCAAGTTAGATGCTTCACTTCAGCCCGGCCTGCTCAACAACTGTTTGGAAGCTTCGTTTCTTAGTCTCTACCGAAATCAAGACAACAACAAAACCCACCACAGTAACCAGTTGATGCTAAGCATTACGATAAAAACCTTAACAACTAACAGAACTAGTAGCATCATTCGCACATATCTACATATATATATATATATATGAACTATCTATGTCTACAGCTATGACTTAGCTGCACGCCTATCCATGTCTTTTTCCGTACGTGGACAGACTGCTGAACAGGTAGCTGGACAATCCCAGATCGAATGATGTAAGCTGCCGTCCAAAAACCAAGGAAGAATCACAGGAAGCAACGAAGGATGGCACCGATGGTCAAACGGAGTCTCATGGCAGAATGCGAGAAACCATCTCGTAATATCGCATCATCTCGACATGCACAATATACTACAATAAGTATAGAAAAGAGTACAAGGCTGCAGCATGATATGGCGTACAGTGATACAGTGCCAACATAGTCGAAAACACACATTGGTCAAGACAGTGAGATCGGTGGATTTTCCGACCTTCCGGCATTACTTATGCATCTTGTAGTCAAGAAAGTCAGTCGGCGCTGGATTTTGCAGTGTTTTTTTTGTATGTGGCGGTTCGGGTCAGGAGCTTGGCCTTTGCAGGACCAGTCTAGCCAAATAGAAAATTCAGCTTGGAGTAAGGATCCCCGGCAACGTCGTCCACTCAGAGTTTACGGACAGCTTGCAGCTTGGGAATTCACTATGCCGACTGAAGTGAATGGTGTTCTACAGTGTGGCATGTATTTTGTGGGCTGTATGCCCGAGAAAGCAGCTGCACGGCGCAACAGCCGAGACTCTCACACTCCATACTCAAAGCACCATATTTCACTATATTATATAGCTCTAAGTTCTATAAGCATTTCCCTTATAAACCCCATGAGACGGTTTTTAAAATCTGGGGCCCCGCGCGGCGCTTCGCAGGTGAATCCGAAGCGCGTGTTCTCTGCAGGGTTGCCAAGGCACTCTTTGTAGCCCATGGCGCCTCGAGCTCAAGACCGAGAATTCGAGATTCAGGGATAGAGGGTTTTAGGGTGTTCGAGCTTATAAGCTTTATGGTTTTGCGGGCTTATTGCTTCCGTAGGCCGGCAGAAGGATTCTTATAGGGCTTGACCGGGTTTTGTGGTTTAGGTTTAGGGGTGTACGGTTACAGTGTAGAGCTTGGGGTTTGGGGGTGATTTAAAATGTACATCGCAGAGAAGCGGAAATGGGAATAGTTGAATAGCACCTCATCAGAAACGCTGGAAGCAAAACGATGGCATGAAGGGAATCCAAAGACAGTATCGCTGTAATCAAGCAATGATTACAAGAATCGCAACCCTGAGGCCTCTCACCCCTGTCCTATAGCCCATAGTAGCCTTTACTTGCAGTAACCCTTCCAGCAGCCCCGATCAGAGCATTTTCCAGTCCCCCTCAGACGCTAAGGAAAAAGTTGGGGATTAAGGTATACGGCCTACCATAAGGATTAGGGCTTTGCTTCGGGTTTCTATCAGCTGCAGGATTTCGGTGATATTCTTGACCTGAAGGCAAGCCTACCCCGGGTCCGTAGAGAACTACTATTTAGCATGAGGAGGGTCCCTCATTTCTCAACATCTCACTTGGAGTCGGGATTTTGTGCCTTGTGGCTCTGGAGGCTCATCGAAGCCCTACAGATACAACCAAGCTCAAATCTACAGAGTCTCTCAACACAGGGTTTGGCTTTGAGAGGGGAAAGTCTCCCAACATAGCTGAGATGCAGGAAGCCTCGACCCTGCAACTACCCTCCCGGCCTGGTCCTTTCACGGTTTAGGGCGGGCAAAGCCCCAAAGCTCCATGCAATGCCATGCCGGCGAACCCAACTGATGTGCCTATTTCACTGCCTGTTGCACCACAGGGGCTCGAGAAAGAGAAGGTGAACCAATGGCAATACTCCAAGGCTACTTCTGACAATGCTAAACACCCCACTGCTAAACATACTAGTGCCTCAAGGACAGACGAAGAATCACCACGATCCATCAACCCCGTCGGAATCTCGGGCACAAGCCCCGTGGAAGCGAAAAGTTCTCTGCAACTGCCTTCGCAGTCATGTTCCAAGACCTCAGGGATCAAAAGCCACAGCGTGAGGGGTCGAATGTCTGGCTTAAAAGCTTAAGCCTTTGGGTTCTGGGGGTTTGCTAGGGTTTAGGAAATTCAGGATTTGGGCTGCGGGGCTTCAGGAGTAACAACATTCTGCAGATGCGCAACTTTCTCTATGCAACATGTCTAAAACCTGTTCCGAACGCCAAGCCCAACACCATGAACTCCGGAAGCCAAACCCCCAAACCTTAAATACAAAGCCCCAAACATAAACTTCTTTATCATTTTCGAATACCGAAAATGCACACTTCTTAAGCCTCGTTCAACCCAGCTTCAAACTTCCTAAACCAAATCCCCAATGCCTGAATTTCCGAAAACTAACTTCCTATACCAGACCCCAAAATTGTCTTCTAAACCGACCCCAAGCCGAACACATGCTACAGGTCCGAAGACTCTCAGGATGTTGGGTGATGGCTCGCCGACGGGCCTCCAAGATCAATGCTAGGATCCTTAACAATTCGAACTTTGACATCTTCCGATCTTGTCGCGTCGACCGAGGGCGAGGCATTTTCTTGTGGCTGGGCTGTCTCAAACCGGCATACCTCAGGCCAGCGTTCATCTTAGCTCATATCCTGACGTGCCTCGAGTTTTACCAATTCAGTTTAAGCATTTCGCTGCCCTCAGCTGTGCTGATAAGGTACACATGGTTTACAGTTCCGGATTCCCGGTGCAAACCCTAAGCCCCGAACCCTGAACCGTACAGACTCCGTTGACCGCAGGATCTGGTCATGCACGCCCCTGCCTCAGCCATATGACCTGGTCGTAGTCGGCATCGTCCCAACCTTAAAGTTTCGGATTTGGGATTTCCGGACGCTTTGGGTTTAGGGTAGGTACCAAGGCTTCATGTCTTCTTCTGCTGCTCGCGTTTCGGAAACATGCTACTCGCATCACTTGGGTCACCATCGTTCGGCATCGGCCGATAGCCTCATCTGCATCGTCAGCCACTTGTTGTTGATATCTCCAGCACCATTGCGAATACTATGTCCACCACCGTTACGATGATGTCCGGCCCACACAGCCTCTACACAGCAATCCCAACAACAATCGCTGCCACCTCCAACTACGACTGCCGTGTCGAGTACCACTGCTGCTGTGTCGGCTACTGCTGCTGCTGCTGCTGCTGCTGCTGCTGCTGCTACTACTACTACTACTACTACTACTACTACTACTAACTACTAACTACTCC